GCCAACTTCCTGTTTCACTGGCTGTTTCAGATCTCACCAGAAAATGTATTAACAGATACACACATACACACAAACAGCTCTATACATATCCACAGACATATGAATCATCATCTTGGAAGCATATATTGTATATTTACAGCAATATTCATGTATAACAGGATGTGTCTGGATATTTTATCTGTGCCTTGAAAGCAAACTAATTATGTTAATTGTTCATGTCCATAGCTTAATTTTTTATTTGGACCTTGTTTTTTGTAATAACTCGTGTTAGTAGCAGTATCAAGGTGCAAAGACATGGGGGCCAGAGGTGAAGACTTAGAAATTGAGGGTGAAACATCCGGTTTAAAATCAGAGGTGTGGCAGCTTTAATAAGACAGAGCAAGACATATGAAGCCATATTCTGTAGTTGACAGGGTTATATTTTCAGTTTTACTTTTACAAAGAAAAGGAAACATGCATTCCATCTTTATTGAACCCAGTATTGTGATTCGTATTTAATCGTGAGTTGAATGTCCCTTGTGACAAGGCCTGAAAAACTCTGTGAAAATACCAGGGCAAGAGAGGGTTCATTATTTGTCTTCATGGCAATTTGCATAACTGGACCCAGGCCCATCAATTTCATCAACATTGCAACAGGCTCAGACCCATGACTCATGCTGTTAGTTTCTGTGTTAACTGTGAGATTTAAATGAGATAGAAGAGTAAAAATGTTCAAAAATATTGTTTTCCTTTGTGTTTTTATACAGAATGATAAAGACTCTTTTTTTTTTGATTGTTTTGCTTTTGCTGGGCTCAGCAGGACAACAAAAATATTTGTGAAAAGGGCTGCAATGGCCACAACGTAAGCTAATGTTAATCCATGGGAACAAATGTGCTCCATCAAATTATACAAATTGTTATTCTAAGTGTCTAACAACATTATGATTGTAAGTTACATTTCGTTTCGTACCTGACGTAACATAAGTACATGAATAAAACATAACTTAAGTAACGTACCTGATGTAACTTAAGCACGTTACTTAAAAGACATTTGCTTTTGGTTTCTTCTGAGTGAAAGTCCTGTGTTTGCTCCATTTGCAAACTTTCTCGCTCTTTATGCTTCGTCACCTGATGTTACCTGTGGGTGAGTCCACAAATGACTAGTATAACTACAGCGTTATATTTTGAAGCAGAGGGCCACTAACCAAGAAGCAGATGTGGGTATTGGGCTACTTGCCGTCAATCAAATCTGGCAATATATGTACATTTGTACTTTGAGTAGAACAGATTGAAATTTTAATGTCGATAAACAGATTGTTAACAGCTAAATTATCCAGACATCAAATGAACATGAAGTGAAAATTGAACTCTACTGCAAATGTGGCGGAAAGTTTCTTTCCAATAATAGCAAATGTTTTCCACGTCATACAATCATGTTCAGTTTATTGTATAAATGTTTGGTCATGGTTTCCAAAAATGGGAGGGGTCTATAAGCGTAAACCTGTCAAACTCATCAACAGCATCTGTCTCAATGGGACACAACTCACTAAAACCCTTCATCATCATCATCATCACTGTTATATCTTATGTCTTATGTCTGCATGTGTAACCAATCAACCCCACTTCCTGACAGTTTCCATGGTGAAGAAGAAGCTGAGGATGTGTTTTTGATTGACAACTTCAAATAAACACTTGTGTCATGCTCTTTTCTTTTCTTATTCTGGTCATTTAAGAGCAGCTTTACTTTCATTAGTTATAATCAATCAAAACTATGGCAAAACTAGACTATGGTTTAGTCTGGTGTTAAATTTCAGCAACCATCACGGTGCAGACAAACATACAAACATTAAGTCCATTTGGAATCTGAAACATTAGTGCAGGATTAAGTTTGGATCCTGTGTGTTGACCCAGCCGGTTCAGTGTTGACAGACACACAGACTGCAGCCGGAGTTCAGGTTTCATCAATGACTCACTCTGCTCTCTGTTTATGCTTCCTTAATAGAATGGAGTCTAATTTTGATTCATATCTGGTCACACTGAAGCCTAGAATAAATATGAAACAGATGGAGGGCAGAAAAACACATGAAAGAATAAGGATGGTCAGGATATATGGAGGTTAAAGAGGAAGAGGAAGGTGGGCAGAGATAAACAGAATAGGAGGGATAAAATTAGTAAATAAATGCAAATACACACATTCCACAGAATGCATTTCTTTTTTTCCTTTCATTCATTAATTTTTCTTAATGAATCAGGACCTTTCCCATCTGAGTGTTGGTGCAGTTCCTCCAATGTCCACTAGATGCTGCTCCAAAAATTCATGCATTGAAATGAAAAGGAAAAAACCCAACTTCTCTCTATGAATGCAAAGTCAAAACTGTGAGTTTGACTGCAGATTTTCTGAATCACTGATGCATTAATGAGGTATTGAATCTTAAAGAACCATATGTGTTTCTTGCTCAACTCAACCAGGCATTTAGGTGACTGACAGTTGGAGGACTTCAAATTTTGGATGGACATGAAACTCTACTTGTAGAGTCATCATATATTTTTATATAAAATATAAAACAACTGTGTTAGAAAATATCTGGTTCTTTGGTTCATAGTCATGCTTGCTGTGAGGTTGTTGTTGAGCTAAATGCTAACATCAGCATGCTAACATGCTCACAATTCCTATGCTGACATGCAGATGATTAGCATACAATATTTACCATGCTCACCATCTTATTTTAGAATGTTAGTATGCTAATTTTTGCCAATTAGCACTAAACCCAAAGTACAGCCCAGGGACTGATGGGAATGTCATTAGTTCTGCTGGTATTTGGGTTTAAACTAACCAATTTAACTAATTAATGATGATTAATGATTGTAAACAAACATTGTGATTGGTTCTATAGTATGGTAAAGTGTTTCTATGTAGAGGAACATAGAGGTGACCATTAAAAGCATATTACAAATTACAGTGGGGAAGAAATATTTCAAGAACCAGCAGTTCCTTTCAATATGTAACTTTATTAGGATTTTATGACTCCAGACAAAGATGGCTGCTGGAAGGAATCTATACATTTTTAACAATAATATATATATGTGTAAATGTAAATATGTTTGTTTGTTTTATACATAAATGCAACTGAAAATGGTCTGTGCAAACTGACTCTGAGTGGTTGTCGTAAAAATAGTAGTGGGACCACCTGGTCTGCAGCTCAAATTGACCTGCTGCAGTTTTCAGTCATCAGCAGCAGGGCGATCTGGGGATCCTGTTACAGGTGAAGGGGTCTCCTGCTGCTGTGTGACCTCAGAGAAAACTGACCTGTGAACAGCAGCAGTGGTAGCAGCTCTCCTGATTTAATATGTATCAAGAAAGTTCAGTAATTCACATTATTAGCTTGTCTTCACACCTGTTGTTTGTCTGGATTACGACATAACTGATCCTTGCCGTGTGCTCACTGTCTGATCAGGTTTTAAAAGATGTGTAAACCTGAAGTCACATGAACTGACAGCTAACTCATTCATTGGACAGTTTCAGTGATGTCATCTTGCATCCCCAGTCCCACACGAACACATCCGATCACCAAACACTGTTTATTCTGCTGAGTCATGCTGGACTTTGCTGAGTCTCATGGCTTTATTTATCCTCTGTGTTGGTCATGAAGAAATAGTTGTTTACCAGCATCATTAGACCGGTTTCTGCTGGACCTCATCTGTCATAAATACTGATGGGCAGATAGAAATGAGTTGTTTTGTCAAACAGTATGATGAGAAAGAATGGTTGTCATAAAGGATTGTGGTTGCTATCTCAAGGATAATTCCAGTTTAATATAACTTGGAACTTATTTTCATAGGTTTGTCCATCATTTCTATAAGTAACGCAGCATGTGAAGGGGAAAGAGGACTCTGCAGACTGAATACTGCAAACAAAAATGCAATGATAAAATGTTTTAACCTTCAAGGTGAACATCTATGTGAACAAAAAGCAGGCTGTATGTTATATACATATCATATATGTATAAACACAAAAAGACAGCTTCATCTAGAATCAGGAGATCACATGACACAGAAAAAACAACTCTTCATCCCAAAACAATTTAGTATGCACATTAAGAAAAAATATATACAATATACCTTTTTGCAAACATACTGACAGCAAGAAAAGCGCCGTGTAATCAGTCAAATTAATACAAACTGCAATCTATTTTAATGAGCAGTTCCAGAAACCCCATTTACAACATGAGGTGACCAGCCCCTTCCCACATTTTGTGGATTGAGTGGAGGGGGACGTAATAGCAATAGGACTTGTCGATCACATACTTGCGTCATGTAATGTGCTCATTTGAACATTGAATTTAATATTTCTGCATACTGTGGTCCCACAACAGTATTGGAATTACATAAATGACTTCAATGGCAGTCAGCATCAGAGCACAGAGCTTCAGAGCAGCCACTGCCCCGATGTCCAGTGTTACACTTTCCTCCGTTAACTATCTTTTCTCATTTCTCATTTTGAGACTCTGTTTGCAAAGTTTACACCCTGCTATGCTTTCGCTCTGTTTACTGACACAGCTGAATAAGAAAACTGCACAGAATGCAAACATTTGGGGAGCAGCCCTAAGTCCGGGTTTTTTATCTTTTGTAATGATAATTCAACCAGGAGAGTTTCATGTCCATCCAAGCCTTGAATTCCTCCAACTGTCACCTGAAACTGTCTATGAGAAAAAGAAAATTTTTATTGCAGGAACACCCTCAAACTCTATATCAATCTATGACAACCCTCACACTGACAGCCTGCCCACCAGGGGGAGAGAGCTTCTAATTGGATCCTTGCCAAAGTAATGTGTGTCACTGCTGTGTTTCAGCATACAGAATGACTCTGGTTTGCTCACAGCACTGGTTTCTGATTGGCTCAGGCGTGCTTACAGCTGCACTGTCTGTTAGTGTTGTTGCACCTGTTGAATAAAGATTAATGTCACATAAGTGTTTCACCCAACTTAAGTCACATCTCTGCATTTCCAGGCTGCCGGCTGCTCTGCTCGTGTTTGCCTCACCCTGGCACTAAATTTAGAGCTGCAGCTCTGGATCTGTTAACGTATGGTGTAAAAATAGCAAGAAGGGGGGAAGCCTGCTTGCCCTGAGCAGATACACAGGACACACTAGGTGTAAGCTGATAAAAGTTAACTACAGAAACAGACTGAAGACAGAGAGTGATAAACAGACAGACAGACAGGTACCTTTGTAGCTACTTTAAAGATTAAGCCACCTTAATGTATACTTGGTTACAGCAGGAGATGTAAACAGACAGAAAGACAGACTGAGAGAAAGACATCAGGTAAGTCAGGATTGATTTACTGATTTCTCTGTATTTTATTTTTTGGTTTAAATCTAAAATGCTGGAGTTGTTGGGGTATTTTTTCAGTTTTGAAGGTGCTTGATCATATACATTCGTTGTGCTAAGCTATTGGCTGAAGGTCATGTGACCAGTGAAGGTAACCCAAGAAAAAGTTATATGTATTTTACACATCACAGTCTGTTTACAGGTGTTATATGTGAAAACACTTAATACATTCAGTTTACTGTGCTATATTAGACCTTTTTCACAGCAGCCATTTTACCATTAAATAGTAGGCTCATCACAGAAAAACAGCTGGTTTATTTAATCTACCCAACCGCTGGGTTATGAAATGTTTTACCCATTATGGGTTATTTACATGGAATTTGGGTTATTTTGTGCAACTCATGCACTGAGTCAAAATCTATCAACCCAACATACATCGGTTGACTCAGCACCTGGGTTGTTGGTGCTTCGAACGTCATCACATCATCACCTTGAGTCCACCAGAGTCCACACACCAAGCGCTCATCACAGTAGAGAACCTGACTGGTCATCCAGCGAGGCAAATAAATAATAAAAGGTTTGTGCACACTACATATCTAATTCACATTGTCTGTGTTGCGTTACCTATTAAAGTAGTATCTTTATATTGTCGAGGCTAGTTGGTTGGTTTGGCTAACTAGCAGTAGTAGCTATCCATTTATCCATTATCATGGTTTCTAAATTGTTAGGACAAGATTTAGATGAAGATAAAATCCATGTAGTTATGGGGATCATCAGCATCTCCTGTAGGTAATAATAGCAGAGTTAAGAATAGAAATAGAAAGGATAGAAATGTAAAATCAGCTGTAGCTATGGTTTTCAGACAAGGTGGGTGTCCTTTTTCTACAGGATCCAGTCTGAGGAAAAATAAGAAGCGAGTCTGTAAAAAGATTGATGGTGCTGAATGAGAAAAGATTCCGTAAATCCCAGTCTCATGTACAAAGGGAATTAAAGATTGGTTATAGTCAGGAACTCTACACTGTAAAACCTAACAGCATATCTGAATAAAGGAAATAGGCTAACATAGCTTAATACTCCAAACTGTGGAGTCATTCAATCCCATAAATTAGACCTAACTCAAAATGAATTGTTGAATTAATAACCCTCTAACTTCAGTTAATCTTATTTTATTCAGATTAATTCTGTTAATACCGTTTTAAATAAGTTTTTAGAAATACTGCATATGAGGGTAGTATACTTAACTAAATGTAACTGTATCCCAATTACCTTAACAAGTTACTTTTACTCAAATTAAGTGTTTCATATGATTAAGTTAATAAACTCAAATTGTTTTAGACAATCAGTTTCCTTAAAAGGTTTAAATTGAACTTACTTAACGGGTTTTACAGTGTACATGAGTTGACAACAATGCATAGATAAGTGCAAACAAATATCAAAAAAAGAATGTACTGTAGAGGTTAATTACAGCATAGTCAATTAAGTGTCACTAATCCCCGGCCGGGATGACTGTTT